GTAGAAAGAGGAGGAGGAGGAGGAGGAGGAGGAGGAGGAGGAGGAGGAGGAGGAGGAGGAGGAGGAGGAGGAGGAGGAGGAGGAGGAGGAGGAGGAGGAGGAGGAGGAGGAGGAGGAGGAGGAGGAGGAGGAGGAGGAGGCGGAGGCGGAGGAAGCGAGCGAGCGCGATTACCTGTCCAGGATTCTTCGTTTGCTCCCCCCAGTTGGCATCCCTGCCTCTCTTAACCTATCAATATGTCAGACAGGAAAGGAGGAGGGAAGAGGGAAGAGGAGGACAAGGAGGAGGGGAGAGGTAAGAAGGGGACAAGGAGGAGGGAGGTAAGTAAGGGGGGAGGGGCAGTAGGAGGATTTTCAAGTGAAAGTGAAGAGGGGAGGGATGAGAGGAAGAGGAAAGACGAGGAGTTGCAAACGTACCTCTGCCGCAGCAGGGAGAACTTCTTTGTTCCCTGGGAGGGCTTCTGCTCGGTCGTAGCGTTCTTGGGCAAGATTTTCTTCAGATACTCTCTCAGCTTGTACTGCAGAAGATTCTTATCGCCATCATCACCGCTACAATCGCAATCATCACCTTTGGTATGAGCGTTTTCTCCCAATACTCCAGCATCTCCTCGGCCTGCTCATCGTCTCATCTCCTTCCCCTCAGTTATCCGCCTGCGAACCTTCTCTGAGATGATCTTCTCTGCCCGTGAGCTCGACGATCGAAACTTGGCTGCGAGGTGCTTCATCTGCCCTGTCAGCTGGTGCGTTTGCTCCGGGTTCAGTTCCATCCCCTTGATCCTCACGAGCATCGAACACAGCGCCTCCTACCCAGATGTCACTCTCACATGCGATCTTGCAGCACGACAGACCTTGTCGTCATTGTCCTCCGCCTTATCCATCTCCTGGATCATCTAGGGAGCAGGTCAGCTTCAGCCAGGGCGTTCACCCCGCTTCCACTCACGTAAAACAGATCCTCATCCCTTGTAAGTGAAACTTGTTCTGGGACGGCAACATCATTCAGCAACACCTCTTCATCGCTCGACTCGAGGTGGGCGTTGTAGAAGGACGATTTCTTGTCCATCTTCACATCCATCCTCTTCTTCTCCTTATCCTCCTCAGTCGCCCGGTCAAAGTACTCCAAGTTCAGGTCAGGACCATCGGGTTCAATCAAGTTCCCGTCTCCGTCGATCTCGTGCAGGTCGTTCACTTTGAGGTTCCATCCCGGCTCGCTCAATATCTTCCATATCGGTGGGATGTTGAAATCCTCCCGACCTCTGTTTGCACTGGATCAGCACACCACCTCAATACCATCCCTTGCAGTACTCACTTCTCCTTTGCAAGGATCTTCTTGTAGCTCTTTGACCATCGCTGCCATTCCACCTGTCCTCGACACCTCAGCGAACATCAAGAACACTGCCCTGCCCACCTCAGGCTCTGTCTCCGACGACTCCTCCCTCATCATGGGGGTGAACTTGGAAGGGATGTGCATGCTCCCTCTCCCACGGCCAAGATCCTTCCTCTTCACCTGACGGTTCAGTGCCGGCACCGTCCTCACGAGGTCCTCATAGTTTTCCCGGAAGAATCTCGAGATCTCTTTCATTGTTGAGTTCCCGTGCAGCATCTCCTTGAGGATCTCTTGCGGAGACGCTCCCTGGGCCCGCATCAGCCTAACTCGACCTTGCTTCTCCAGAGCCTCCACTTGCAGAGAAGGGACTCTCGTCAGGCTCCCTCCTTCGCTCGCTCCCCTCCCTTCCTCCATCGACTTCTCCTGACCGCCCTCGACCTTCAGCATGTTCAGGTGGTTCGGGTCAAGTCCGTACATGGGCTGCTTGGCTGCAAACTTGGCCATCTCCACAAGCTCTGCAACTTCAGGAGGCAGTTCCTCCTGCTTTGACCCTCCGCTTTGGTCAGCACCAGCACCCCCCACCTTGAACATCCCACGAGTATCAAGGCGATTTTCAAACGCGCGCTTGTCAAACTCATCAGTCTCCGCGTCATGCATCATATCGAAAGCAGAGTTGTCCTTGACGTTAGGGATCATGGGGGCTCTTCCTTCTGCCTGTTTAGATGTTCGACCTGTTCGTTTCCCAGCGTCCCCGTCCACGCGTCTTTCCTTGGTCTCACTAGCTGCTTTCTTATCTCTCTTGGGTGGCTTCTGGAAGATTTGGAGGATCTCATCGGCAGTGTCTAGCACATCGCCAAACCCCAAGTTCTTTGTCTTTCGCGACGCCTTCTCTTTACCCCCCAACTTCTTCTCTAACTTTTTTATCGTCTCCTCGTCGTTCTCCAAGAATTGCCGTCCGCCCGACAACCTCAAGATAAGGCTGGACACATCATATGCCGACGTGTTTCCCATCAGGACAACATATCTCAAGCTCTGAGAGGCATCTGGCTCCACTTTTCGCATGGAAAAGCACAGGGTCAAAAACAAGATTGCTGGGAATTTGGACATGATTGCTTCAGGCTAAAGCGATGTTGTTACGTCAGAGAAGGGCATGAGAAGGCAAGACAGGCGAGGGGAGCAGGAGAGGAAGGTTCAGGAGGGGACGAGAAGTAGGCAAGCGCAGCTTGCCTACTCCTCACCCTTCCCCTCCCATGCCCTCCGCAGATACGCCTGCACAGACGCCGGCACATGCTGCCATGGTCAGCGCGGGGAGGAGTGCTGCTGAGCCAGGGTAGTAGTCACTGAGTGTCCCAACTGAGTTGGGGCCCCGGCGGCCGCTGGGGCCGGCGGCCCCGGGCCCGGGGCCCTGCCGCTCAGCCGCCACAGTCGGAGTTGACCGTGACTCCGACCGACGAGTCATCACTGCCGGGCGCGCGGCAGGTGACCGTGAGTAAGTTCACGGTTGGTTCTCGCCTGGCCGCTATCATCCGCGGCTGCGCCGGGCCTGTGAGACTCGCCCCCGTCACAACTGAGGTCCGACACACGGCACTGTCAAGCCACTGGGCCTCAGGCCCTCACCGTGTTCCCTAGTACTGACACTGAGGCGCTGAGCGGAAGATCCGAGGGCATCATGCCGTTCACAAACCCGGGGATATGCAGCCCCTAGCAAATCTGGTCTTTTTTTTTCTACTTTTTTGGGGGTTCACATGGGGTCCGTATATACACTCCCTGTTGACTACCCCCTGTTTTCACCGATCAAAGGAGGGGCAGAGAGACTGGACATAAGCGGGGTGGGGTAATTTGAATTCCTCTGGCGTGGAACCCTTCCCCCGCCTTGGTTTTAGAGGTACTGCAATTTTAGTTTTACCCATCACATACATGGTAGTATAGATTGTACTGTATGAAAACATATTGGTACAAAAGAGAGGTTTCATGGTACAGAAGTTCCCCCCTCCACCACCCTACCCCCTTTTTATCTCCTCACAGAGGATATTTGAATCCACAGAGAAATCCCTCAATGCTCACTGTTATGAATACTCACTGTTATGCGCATCCACCAGTCATTTATGTCGCATGACGTTTCTTCCTCAACAGCATCCCGTCACTGTGCGCCGGCTAGAGGAACGGGCTTCCTGGCAGTCTCCTCTCCATCAGGAGATTCTGTTCCTGGCCCGGAGCCGCCCCGGGTGTTCGGCCTCTGCATACTAGAGCGGACAAGTACGTGCAGCCGGGGTGGGAGCTGGAGAACGCTATCAGGGATGCGACTAGGCTGGCACCAAGAGCTGAGGAGGCTAGTCGTCCTCTTCTACGCTGGCCATGGGATGAAGGCAGGAAGGGCCAAAGAAGACGACCTGATCCCCTGTGAGGTAGGGACGATGGAGACCGAGGAGGAGGTAGAGGACTACACTGTGACTCTCAGTCTGTTTCCTTGATGTCATCGATGCCTGCAGATACCGGGAGGGTCTGCAGGAGACGGGACGGCTGCTCCCGCAGCAGGCGGCGAAAGACGTCCTGCCTCGATCATTCAACTGCTGGTGCCTGACAGCCTGAGAGACAAACAGCTTCTTTGGGAGGAAGCTATTTCGGAATTGAAGAGAAGGAAGACGTCAAAGCACTTCCTTTCAAAATTAGGGGTGTTGCTTTCAAGTTAGTCAGATTAATCGGACAAGCGAGACTCAGTGACTGCTGCAGTCTTGAGAGTCTATTTGCACAGCATGATGTCAAGTCAGGGCATGTGGGCGATCAATTTGTATATTTCTACGAGAAATATGGCATTCAACTAGCCTGACTATTGAACATGTCGTGCATCGAGCACCGACATCAACTTCAGGGAAGAGATGCATATCGAGCTGCTGCCATGATCGGGAACAGCTACATTGGACTCGGAGAAGAAGAAAACTGCTACTGCATCTAACGGGCAACTTGACCATGTGTGGGATATGCACTGTCCATGCGGTAGTCACTGATGGACCTTCACGCAATGCAGATGACAAGAAGAAATTCAACAATTCGGGTCGAGCACACTTCACTTTGTTGTGGCAGCTCCTTCAAAGTAAATTAATGTCTGAGTAAAGTCGCGTTCAATCTGGATGCCTCCAAATCTCTGTGTGAAACGTGCACAATCGTACCATTCTTTCGAACTTGAAAGAGATGCATGTGTATTGCGTCCTCTAATTTCGTTTCAAGGTGACTGTCAGTGCGCCCTCGAAATATAACGAACCTGATCCAGTTTTTATCATGTAGGGTTCATCCTTGAAAGGCACAGGAAATTCTCCGTTAATGACAGGATTCTGTAAGAGTGATGTACTGATGTTCCAACTGCACTGGCCTTTTCATCCGGGGTTTCAAGAAGGGCTTCCCACGTTTGCGAAACCAGTTAACTATACTGCCGTAGTCCTAATCTTGGCCAATTTCGGATGATTCCACTTCGAAATTTCCCATTGACATCAGTAAACCTCACACCATGACATGGTACCAGATTGAATGACATGTCTAAACCTTCAACGTGGTGTAGTAATTCAAAGTGCACAGAATGATCGAAGGCATTTGCTGCAAGGAACAACGGTGCCTCTTGGATGTATCTCATGCGAATGAAGAGGATCAACTTGTTCTCTTGCTCCAATCTCCTCCTTTTGGCAATGCCGAGCGATGAGGCAGCCCTTGACGACGGTGGCCGCCCCGATTGCGCCGCCATTGTCCGTCAAGGCAAGGAGGATTGCAACTGGTACTGAAAGTAGTACCATAGGGTATGTGTCGGTACCGTACTGTAACTACCGTTAAAATAACTTGTAAAGAGGATTGTTGAAATAAACTAAAACAAATGGGTACTATGAAGTGGGGTCTCTAACTCGTTTATCAAAATAGCACGCCTAGAAAAAAAAACAACCCTACCGAAAAATTTAAGTGCCAAATTAACGAAAGGCCTGAAAGTGAACGGCATGCGTAACTGTGCATATGCTCAGCACGAGTCCCGCCAAAGGCCGGGCCTTCGCCGGAGTCTTCCCATCATCGCAGTCGCCAGCACTGATGGACCGAGTCTTGCAGCCTCGGACGATGCGTTCCGCTTTCCGAGTGTGACGGGCCGGTGGTGGCTGGGGGATCGCCGCAGGCTCGGCGAATCCGATACGGTCAGCTCAAGGCCTCCCTCAGTGTCCTTCGCTGCCATCATCATCGCGGGTGCGTTCCGGTATGCGTCTGAGTCATTCCTTCCGAGTTCGGAAGTTCAGCAGTTGGCAGGCCCTGAGGATTGGGCTTGGTTCTCGCTGTCTTGACTCTCAGTTCTCTTGCCCGTTTGGCCCGTGCGACGGTGTCACTGAGGCCCAGCTTCCTCGTTTCCTGATTGACCGTACTTTGAGTAAAGAAGTTTACTGACCGTACGTACCGTCGTATGCCGCCCCCGGCCCCCGGGCCCAGCCTATTTCGGGAGTCAGTCAGTTCATTCAAACCTCGAAGTCTGTGAGAGGCCTTCCACTACTCAAAGTTAAGTTAAAAAAAGAGAGCGCTACAGGCTAGAGTAATAAGTTCACAAGACTTCACAGTGATGACTGTCGGTGACTTCAAGGATGACGGATGACTGCTGCATTAAACTTACCTGTGGGTCTTTTTTTATGGTCCTCGTACTGATTTTTGACCGTTAACTTTGAGTAGTAAAGACTCAATAATAGTCAAGAAGTTAGTACTCCATTAAAATTATTTCCCTGCGGGTCTTATGTTCCTCGTACTGATCTTTGACTTAACTTTGAGTAGTAAAGAGTTAATAACAATCATATTGACTGCTCTCGCTCTCTCAGTAGTAAACTTGCTTTCCTCCTCAGTTGCCACGTGTTATATTTACCCCTGACCCCTGTGATGACTCCGTAGAACCCCCACCCCCCCTGGTCTTACACGACTCAATACTCTACCCGGTGACCGGTCCTCTAGGGATCCCAAGATGACGGTCTTTCTTTCACCGATTAAAAAAAAACAGTGAGCCCTCTCCTGCCCTCCTATAAATCAGACCCTTCCCCTCCCCCTCTCCCATCCTCAGCCGAAGCCCTCCCTCCCTCCTCCCTCTTCCCTACTACCCTCGCCCGCCCTATCTCCCTCCCCTTGCTCTCGTCTCCACGCTCGTCCCCTACAGCCAAGACCCTCTCTTCCACCACCCCTTTTACCACCCGGCTCATCATGCACCATCCCTCCGACGACGAGCAGCTCTCCCTCGCCAAGGTCAACGACTGGCTCAACGCTGATAACGGTCGCTCCTGTTCTTCGTCGTCAGACCTGCCCCACTCCAAGCGGTCGTCACCCGGACGACACCATCCCAGGGCCGCAGCCCTCGCCAGGACGGCTTCGTGCCCTAGTGGCGGCAAGATCGCCGAGCGAGACCAGCCCGCGCCTTCCTCCAAGAGTCTAGACTCCCTCGTCATCAGGGACGAGGAGCACGCCAGCTCTGAGTCCGCGCTGTCGTCGCTCCTGACAAGCCTCTCCTTGAGCTGGTTGGAGAGGACGTCGTCCGGGACCAGCCTCCACAACAAGGACACGAAGCCCCTACCGCTCCCAGCGACGACGAGAGCAGGGGGCCTGCATGACTGGGAGGAGAAGGCGCTGGCGGCTTCCCTGCGAGCTCGCTGCATGGGCGTCGCATCAGACTCGAGGCGGCCGGCGTCCTACAGCATGTGAGGGCGGGCATGGCAGGGCTGAGAGGCGTGAGGCAAGGTACATAGGTTAGCTACCCAGGCGTGATCGCAGTCTGGATGAGGCGACGCTACGAGGAGATAGAGGAGCGTTCATGATTTTGATGTATATCGCATATGAATGTATACTAGCGTATGAGCTCAGTGTGTCTGTCTGCATGGCCGGGGCTTGAGCATGGCCGATCTAGGCATCGTGCAGGCACCATGATGTCTTGCATGGGGATGTGCGTAAGGGGGGCGAGTCGCCGGGCCGGGGAGAGAGGCTAAGGACAGGGCCGTGAGATAGCAAGGAGCTAGCTGATCGCGTTGGCTACAAGCGTCGCATGTGTCATGCTGAGGTACGACATGACGGTCAGAGTCGGAGGCTGACAGTGTGCGAGGTCGGCGTACAAGATAGCTAGCCGGACGTGATGTCTTGTACACAAGGGACTGAGATGTCATCATCAATACCAGGCTACAAGCACAACACGGATACAGTACGGAGCCCGATCCGTCCTGTTTCCCATGGTGCGCTCAGCGCTTTAGTCGCCCTCCGCGCTTGAGGCACTCATCGCAGTCACTCCTCGTCGCTCACGGTACGGGAAGAGGGAACTCAAGCTGTTACCAAGACTGAAGTAGACGTCGTCTCCTGCTTGATGTCGGCATGATCGCCTATCCCTGCCACCCTCCTCGCCCCCCCGCCTTCTCACGCTCCTGGCCGATCTGACAGCAGTTTCCTTGTGTCAAGTTGGTTTGCTCCTGCACAAGAATGGACGTGCCTGTAGTTCGAAACTGGCTGACAAGCGCGTATCTCTTAATGACTCCGTGTAGCCCCCACCCCCCCGCTAGTCTCATCGTATTGCCTGTCCACCACCCGTCCTCGCCCCTTCCCTCTTCCCCGGCTTCGTCTTCCCCTACGACATTCGTACCCATCCATCGCCCCATCCAACCACCGGTCCTCGTCATGTGACCGTCTTTTTTTGACCGACCTCGGTATCCCCTACTCCCTATAAATCAGACACCCTCCTGCTCCCTCTCTCTCGTCCTCAGCCGAAGCCCTCCCTGCTCCTCCCTCCTCCCTCCCTCCCTACTACCTTGCTCTCGTCTCCACGCTCGTCCCCTGCAGCCAAGACCCTCTCTTCCACCACCCCTTGTACCACCCGGCTCATCATGCACCATCCCTCCGACGACGAGCAGCTCTCCCTCGCCAAGGTCAACGACTGGCTCAACGCTGATAACGGTCGCTCCTGTTCTTCGTCGTCAGACCTGCCCCACTCCAAGCGGTCGTCACCCGGACGACACCATCCCAGGGCCGCAGCCCTCGCCAGGACGGCTTCGTGCCCTAGTGGCGGCAAGATCGCCGAGCGAGACCAGCCCGCGCCTTCCTCCAAGAGTCTAGACTCCCTCGTCATCAGGGACGAGGAGCACGCCAGCTCTGAGTCCGCGCTGTCGTCGCTCCTGACAAGCCTCTCCTTGAGCTGGTTGGAGAGGACGTCGTCCGGGACCAGCCTCCACAACAAGGACACGAAGCCCCTACCGCTCCCAGCGACGACGAGAGCAGGGGGCCTACATGACTGGGAGGAGAAGGCGCTGGCGGCTTCCCTGCGAGCTCGCTGCATGGGCGTCGCATCAGACTCGAGGCGGCCGGCGTCCTACAGCATGTGAGGGCGGGCATGGCAGGGCTGAGAGGCGTGAGGCAAGGTACATAGGTTAGCTACCCAGGCGTGATCGCAGTCTGGATGAGGCGACGCTACGAGGAGATAGAGGAGCGTTCATGATTTTGATGTATATCGTATATGAATGTATACTAGCGTATGAGCTCAGTGTGTCTGTCTGCATGGCCGGGGCTTGAGCATGGCCGATCTAGGCATCGTGCAGGCACCATGATGTCTTGCATGGGGATGTGCGTAAGGGGGGCGAGTCGCCGGGCCGGGGAGAGGGGCTAAGGACAGGGCCGTGAGATAGCAAGGAGCTAGCTGATCGCGTTGGCTACAAGCGTCGCATGTGTCATGCTGAGGTACGACATGACGGTCAGAGTCGGAGGCTGACAGTGTGCGAGGTCGGCGTACAAGATAGCTAGCCGGACGTGATGTCTTGTACACAAGGGACTGAGATGTCATCATCAATACCAGGCTACAAGCACAACACGGATACAGTACGGAGCCCGATCCGTCCTGTTTCCCATGGTGCGCTCAGCGCTTTAGTCGCCCTCCGCGCTTGAGGCACTCATCGCAGTCACTCCTCGTCGCTCACGGTACGGGAAGAGGGAACTCAAGCTGTTACCAAGACTGAAGTAGACGTCGTCTCCTGCTTGATGTCGGCATGATCGCCTATCCCTGCCACTCTCCTCGCCTCTCCGCCTTCTCACGCTCCTGGCCGATCTGACAGCAGTTACCTTGTGTCGAGTTGGTTTGCTCCTGCACAAGAATGGACGTGCCTGTAGTTCGAAACTGGCTGACAAGCGCGTATCTCTTAATGACTCCGTGTAGCCCCCACCCCCCCGCTAGTCTCATCGTATTGCCTGTCCACCACCCGTCCTCGCCCCCTCTTCCCCGGCTTCGTCTTCCCCTACGACATTCGTACCCATCCATCGCCCCATCCAACCACCGGTCCTCGTCATGTGACCGTCTTTTTTTGACCGACCTCGGTATCCCCTACTCCCTATAAATCAGACACCCTCCTGCTCCCTCTCTCTCGTCCTCAGCCGAAGCCCTCCCTGCTCCTCCCTCCTCCCTCCCTCCCTACTACCTTGCTCTCGTCTCCACGCTCGTCCCCTACAGCCAAGACCCTCTCTTCCACCACCCCTTGTACCACCCGGCTCATCATGCACCATCCCTCCGACGACGAGCAGCTCTCCCTCGCCAAGGTCAACGACTGGCTCAAGGCTGATAACGGTCGCTCCTGTTCTTCGTCGTCAGACCTGCCCCACTCCAAGCGGTCGTCACCCGGACGACACCATCCCAGGGCCGCAGCCCTCGCCAGGACGGCTTCGTGCCCTAGTGGCGGCAAGATCGCCGAGCGAGACCAGCCCGCGCCTTCCTCCAAGAGTCTAGACTCCCTCGTCATCAGGGACGAGGAGCACGCCAGCTCTGAGTCCGCGCTGTCGTCGCTCCTGACAAGCCTCTCCTTGAGCTGGTTGGAGAGGACGTCGTCCGGGACCAGCCTCCACAACAAGGACACGAAGCCCCTACCGCTCCCAGCGACGACGAGAGCAGGGGGCCTGCACGACTGGGAGGAGAAGGCGCTGGCGGCTTCCCTGCGAGCTCGCTGCATGGGCGTCGCATCAGACTCGAGGCGGCCGGCGTCCTACAGCATGTGAGGGCGGGCATGGCGGGGCTGAGAGGCGTGAGGCAAGGTACATAGGATAGCTACCCAGGCGTGATCGCAGTCTGGATGAGGCGACGCTACGAGGAGATAGAGGATCGAAGTTCACTGTTATGATCTTGATGTATATCACACATGAATGTACGGTATACACACCATGCCATGGGAAGCAAGGGCTGCGCTGCCTCATCCTGGCCTCATCGTTCAACTTACGGTAGTAGTTTATTGACTGAAAAGCAAGACTCAATGAGGCAGGGACAACCCCACCTACCCTTCAGTGCTGGTAAAAATTACCCCTACTCATTCAAAATCACAGCCGTGATAACCGTTTGTAACTGTTGGTTTTTATTGTGATCAATAGGCGGGTGATAGCAACTAGGGGGTACTTTGCCTTCTAACAATAGTCAAAAAGGGGGTGGTATGAGGGGATGGGTGGGGGGTGGGGTTCGCCGAGTAATGCCCGAAAGAGCGAATGGCGGGAATTCTCGAGGTTGAGGAGGAGGAGCAGAAGATGATCTAGTTTTTGACCTCCTGCTTCCTGTCGTAAGATGAATGCATCAGAAGAGAATGAGCTCTCAGAAGCCCAAGAGCTGCCGTCCGGCGGTCTGGTGGCGATTGAGAGGATTGCTCAGTTCATCGGGTCACTTGCTACCTCCATCCTGGAGGTCAGTCCGAAGGAATGCGCGACTTCACTCCAAGGAGAGGACAACCTCCAATCAATGCGCCTGTTTATCTCAGAAAGAGATGTTTCCTCCATCCTGGTTGTGTCTCAACCCAGCAATTCCTCATCGAAGCTGTCGCTCTACACAGGTTCGTACCAGTCAACCCTCCCTGCACAACCTGATCTTGCTGACGGTTGCATGCCCCTCAGATGTCGCAGCTGACTGGAGGAAGGGAGACCAGGCGGCAAGCGCCATCGTCCTGATCAAGACCAACCCCACTTTAGAGCAATCCACCCCCCTCAATGCTCAAATCCAAATCTTCACCTTGGGCCAGGAAACCGTGGTCGATGTCATACACACATACGTCCAAAGGTCGTTCAGGCCGCTCCTTGAAACACATCACACCAAGCAGGGTCAGGGAGGGGGAGCTGAAGCGAACACAAAAGACGCATTAACGGGCATTTCGCTGGTCCGGAAGAAGGTTGCGGAGCTCGAGCTTGCCTTGAGGAATTGCCAAGAAGAAGTCAAAGTGCCAGATATCAACCTCAGTGAACATGTTCATGGAGAGATTCGAAGTCTCATTTCGAACATCAACGCCTGCAGCAATCAGCAAGACAGAGAAGAGATCAAAGAACAGTTTCTTGCCAGGTGCAAGTGTGGTCCAATAGTCCACTGAACGCTGACGAGAGACTATCAGGTGCAAGGGCAGTGAAGACCTGAAGGACTCGATGTGCAAGAGCATCCTTTCCTGGCACAAGGAGCTCCATGACCTCTCCTCCCTCTTCGAGAAACGCATGTCGTCACAGGCTGATTCCAGTCCCTCGAACGAGAGGGAATTCTGGATCAAAGTCGAGAAAGTGATGACCAGTGTATCGGAGCAAACAAAGATGCAGGAGGTTGATCTAACGCTAGAAGTCGTGAAGAAGCTGAAGATCCGTGGGCACATCCCCAAGCAGGTTTGCCCTTGTCTTTTGCTTCACCGTCCTGTAAACTTTGGTTTCACCTCCTCCAGTTCGAAGAAGATGTGGCAACTCTGCACTCAAAGCTAGACCATGCTCAGAAGATCAATATCCTCATGAAAGACTTTCCCGTCAACGAAGTGCAAACAGCACCGGACTTCCAAACTGTGGGCGGCGCTGTGCTCAAGGTATTAGTTCCCATGTTGTGAAAGTAAACCACTAAAATTCCACATTCAGGTTTTTGAACATCTGAAGAAGCACTTGCTTCGCTCCCGCTATCCCATCTCCCGAGCTGGCTTCTTGCTAGAATCAGTGTCTGCAGACTTGAACCGGAAACTTCAGGAAATCCTCAAGCGCAAGATGTTGATGGATCTGAAATATGACGACTTCGTGAAAGTGTGCGGCCATTTCCATCCCAACCTGGTCAAGGGCTATCAGAGCAAGGCGGCAGACAGTGCAGCAAAGTCTGACAGCTGGAGCTTTGAGAGCTGCAAGAGCATCTTTGACGCCTGGGAGGCGAAGGAGCGAGACTTCATCAGCGACACGAGCAAGTTCAGGAAACTGAGCAAGGACGCTTCCTCCGACAGCGACAAGCTGAACCTCGAGCACCAGAGGCTGGCAGACAGGCTGTCAGCCGTCTCTTCCTTCCGAACCAGCCACGAGAACCTCAAGCTGGTGATCGTCAAGGTGATGAACTCGTCGGACAGGAGGGGGCAGAAGCACGCGGGACTGTCAAACTTGCAGTTCAATGCCTTGCAGGTCCTCAAAGAAGCCTTTGACATCGTCCGCTCGCTGGATGTCCTTGACATCTCGAAGGAAGGGCAGGACGCGTGGGAGGCTGCTTCCTCCCAGTACCTCGACATGATCGAGCGGGTTGAGTCGCAGATGACGATGACGCTGCGGAACAGCCTCGGGGCAGCAAAGGATGCGAAGGAGATGTTCAAGATCTTCTCTGTCTTTAGCCCTCTGCTAGTCCGGCCGAGAATCAGGTCGGCGATCCAGGAGTACCAGAACAAGCTTCTGCTACAGGTACCCACTGCTCCTGCCACCTCTTCGCCTGACTGGCTGTGAACAGGTGAAAGACGATGTCAAATCTCTGCAAGAGCGCTTCAAGAGGAAGTACGCTTCCTCCGAAGCTCTCCGCATGTCCCACGTACTCGACCTCCCCCCTGTCGCCGGTTCCATCCTGTGGGCCCGGCAGGTGGAGCGCCAGCTGAAGATGTACATGCAGAGGATTCAGGATGTGATAGGGGAGGGCTGGGAGGAGCATCCGGAGGGTCAGAAGCTGAAGCATGAGGGGGACGCGTTCAGGGAGAAGCTGGACGTGACTCAGAGGTTTAGGAAGTGGCAGGAGGAGGTTCTCAACGGCAACCAGCTCCTGATCGACTCGTACAACACGGACACTTTCCTCTCCCACCCGTTCCGCATCTCCGTCACTGCGCAGAACGAGGTTTCTCTCGAGGTGAACTTTGACTCGAATCAGATCTCTCTCTTCAAAGAGGTCAAGAGCCTCGCGCTGCTGGGCTTCAAGATCATCCCATCCATCGAGAAATATTCCCTCGAGCTAAAGAAGATCTTCCCCTTTGCCACCTCCATCTCTGAAGCCATTCGGATCTACTTCCAGGCCTCCTCCACGGTTGACGCCACCGTTCACGTGCTGCTGGCGAGGGACAGGCGGAGGATGCACAACCTGATCAAGATCGGGATCGATCAGAAGGTCTTCCCCTGCCCCAAGGACATTCAGCGAGAAGTTCTGAGAGACTTTGAGAAGTTTCCAAACTTCCTCGAAGACTTTCTGAGGAGAAGAGAATTCGACCACCTGGAGATTTACTCCCGCAAGCTCTACGAGTGTGCTCTCTCCTTTCAAGGTAAAGTCCATGCGGTCCACGCCAGGTACTCGACGTTGGACTCACTGATTCAGAGCTTGAAGACGTGTCAAGTCGACAAGAAGTCCTTCCAAACAATCATGTCAGCCATACAGACCTCAGTGTCGGATCTAGAGCTTGAGGGCTACTCGAACTTGTCAAGTTGGGTGGATGATCTTGACAAGAGGATTGAGCAGATTCTCTCGGAGAGGCTCATGGAGATCGTGAGCAGTTGGGTCATGTCAATCCGCGCCATGTCAGACGACGTTGAGGTCCCAGCAGAGGTCCAAGCAGAGGTGGCAGGGGAGGAGGGAAAGTCGTTCTCTACATTTCTCGACCTCGTCTCCAGCTCCAGGACCCGCCACGAGATCAAGATCCGAGACTCTATCCTGCAGGTGGAGCCTCCGATGGAGGCGGCGAGGGCGAGGCTGTTGGACAACTTCTCGGACGCACTCTCGATTATCGGAGACCTTGACAGGGTCAAGCACACGGCCTACTCCGAGTTCACCGATACCAACATGGCAGACGCCTCCAGTGCCAAGTTTAAGGACCTTGTCTTGAAGCTCCCGGCCGACCTGATGTGCAAAGTATTCGACCTGGTGGACCAGCTCGTGCTGTCCTCGGGCAAGTACGCCAGCTCCTGGCTCAACTACCAGGCCCTGTGGGACATCGACACGTCAACCGTGATCTCGAAGCTGCAGGACCAGGTGGAGGACTGGCTGGACGTGCTGAACCAGCTCAGGGCGTCGCGGTCGATCTTTGACACGGTCGAGACTGAGAAATCCTTCGGCCCGGTCACCATCGACTTCTCCAAGGTGCAGCATGGGGTAGCGATGAAGTACGACATGTGGCATAAGGAACTTATCGTAGCCTTCAGCTCAATCCTCCTCGAAAAGTTCCGCCAGAGGTTCAATGAGATCCACCAGTGCAGGGTCCAGCTGGAAGACCAGCTGTTTGTCCAGGAGACTTCGCAGGCCGTCCTGTTCCTGACCCTCATGCAAGACCTCGAGAGCCGCAAAGAAGTCTGGGAAAGGGACAACCAGACGTTCGGGCGAGCTGAGCGGACGCTGAGCAAGCACAGGTTCCGGTTCCCCTCCGACTGGTTCTATTTCGAGAACGTGGAAGGGGAGATGATGGCATTTATGCAAATCTTCACCAAGAAGGAGCAGGAGCTCAAGGTGGAGATCCCGAGCCTCAGGTCCAAGGTGAGCGAGGAAGACATCGTCGTCTCTGAAAGGATCAAGACCTTCGTGTCGGACTGGAGCTCGAACAAGCCGCTGCAAGGAGGAATCGTTCCCTCCGTCGCTCTCAACAACTTGTCCATCATGCAATCCAACGCCGTGGAGCTGCAGCAGAGCTCGACGCGGCTGGTGCGGGCCAAGGAGATCCTGGGGATGGAGCACGTGGAGGCGGATCGGCTGAGTGTGGTGGTGGAGGAGATAACGGACCTGAAGGAAGTTTGGCGAAGTCTGGTGGAGCCCTGGGAGAAGCTGCAGGCGCTGGGGGAGACGGCATGGAACGCGGTCATGCCAAGGAAGGTGCGAGCGGCACTTGACGACATCCTGCAGTCCCTCCGGGACCTCCCGACGCACGTGCGGCAGTACGCGGCGTATGAGCACATCAGCAGGAGGTTGAAGAGCCTGGCGAAGGCCAACGTGCTGCTGGTGGACTTGCGGTCGCAGGCGATGAAGGAGCGACACTGGGAGCTGCTGGGCCAGAGGCTGGGGGTGCGATGGCTGATGAGCGAGATGACTCTGAGCTCGGTGTGGGAGTCAGACCTGGAGGCGAACGAAGGAACGTTCAAGGAAGTGATCGCCATGGCGCAAGGAGAGCTCGGGCTCGAGGAGTTCCTGAAGCAGATCCGAGAGCACTGGCAAGCTCTCTCGCTGGAGCTCGCGCCGTACAAGCAGAAGGTGTCGCTGATCCGAGGATGGGACGAGCTGTTCTCGAAGCTGAACGAGAACATCAGCAGCCTGTCCTCGATGAAGAGCTCTCCCTACTACAAGGTGTTTGCGGAGGAGGCGAGCTCGTGGGAGGGGAAGCTGATGAAGATGCGGGAAGTTCTGTCTCAGTGGTGCGACGTGCAGAGGAGGTGGGTGTACCTGGAGGGAATCTTTGTGGGCAACGCAGATATCAAGTTCCAGCTTCCCATGGAGTTCTCCCGCTTTCGGACCATCGACAACGACTTCATCTCCCTCATGCGCAACGTGGCGAAGCTCAGCCTCGTCATGGACGTCATGAACATCAAGGACCTGTCGAGCTGGCTGGCGCGCATCGACGACCTGCTGATGAAGATACAGAAGTCGCTGACCGAGTACCTGGAGAAGAAGCGCTCCTCCTTCCCGCGCTTCTACTTCGTTGGGGACGAGGACCTCCTCGAGATCATCGGCAACGGCAAGAACCCTCCCGCCATCCAGCGGCACCTCCGCAAGATGTTCTCGGGTATCCATCAGATCGGCACGGCAGGAGAGGAGGGGAGGATAGAGTCTGTCTCCTCCTCCCAGGGGGAGACCGTCCGCTTCAAGGCTAAGATCCTCTACTCTGAGCAGACCGAAGTCAACGCGTGGCTGTCGGAGATGGAGAAGGAGGTCAGGACTACCCTGTGCGAGGGGCTGGCCGTGAGCCTCAGCGTCTTTGAGCCGATTCTGAGACGAGAGGGCATGAAGAGAGAGGAACTGTTCAAGTGGATGGATAGCTTTCCTGCGCAGATCTTGATCCTGTCACTGCAGATTCAGACATGCTCTTTGATCGAAGAAGACCTTTCCTCCTCCTCCTCCTCCTCCTCCTCCTCCTCCTCCTCCTCCTCCTCCGTGTTGAGCCGATCCTCCTCCAAGTGCAAGGAGTTGTTAGAGACTCTTGCCGAGTCGATCGCCTCTGAGATGACTTTCCTCACGCGCAAGAAGATTGAGAGCTTCGTGGTTGACCTCGTTCACAGTCAGAATGTCGTCACCTCGCTTCAAGACAAGAAAGTTTCCAGCCCCTCGGACTTCGCCTGGCTGTACTTCATGCGCTTCTACTTCAACTCTACCGAGGTCAACCTGCTGGAGCAAGTCAGCATTTCCGTCGCCAACGCTCGCTTCCTCTATGGCTTCGAGTACCAGGGCGCCATCGATCGCATCGTGCAGACTCCCCTCACCGACAAGGCCTACCTCACCCTCACCCAGGCTCTTCACAGCAGGATGGGCGGCAGCCCCTTCGGGCCTGCGGGGACGGGCAAGACGGAGACGGTCAAGGCCCTGGCCAACCAGCTGGGGAGGTTCGTGCTGGTGTTCAACTGCGATGAGTCGTTCGACCTGCAGGCCATGGGCAGGATATTGCTGGGACTGTGCGAGACCGGAGCATGGGGCTGCTTCGACGAGTTCAACAGGCTCGAGGAGCGGATCCTGTCCGCCGTCTCGCAACAGATCCTGACGATCCAGTCGGCGGTGCGAGAGGGGAGGAGGGAGATCGAGCTCATCGGTCGGAGCCTCAACCTAAACCCCAGCATCGGCATCTTCGTGACCATGAACCCGGGGTATGCAGGGAGGAGCAACTTGCCTGACAACTTGAAGCAGCTGTTCCGTAGCGTCGCCATGACGAAGCCGGACTCAGAAATGATCGCACAGATCATGCTCTACACTCAAGGCTTCCGCCATGCCAGGCTGCTGTCGAGGAAAGTCGTTCCCCTCTTCCGCCTGTGCTCCGACCAGCTCTCCTCCTGCGTCCACTATGACTTCGGTCTCCGTGCCCTCAAGAGCGTCCTGGCAGGTGCCGGGCAGGCGAAGAGGGGCATGAAGATGCAGACGAACAAGGAGGGGGAGGAGGAGGAGATTCTCATCAAGAGCATCTGCGGTGCTGTGGTGCCGAAGCTGCTTCCGGACGACATCTCCCTCTTCTCCAGCCTCCTCCTCGACGTGTTTCCCAACGCGCAGGTCAAGGGCTTCTCGGACGATACCTTGCTCCCCCACATCGAAGCTGTCTGTTCTGACTACGGCTACACCGCCAGCCCTCAGTTCGTCGAGAAGCTGATGCAGCTGCAGCAGACTCTCTCCATCCACCATGGCGTCATGCTGGTCGGCCCCTCGGGCACCGGCAAGTCAGTCGCCTGGCGGATCCTCTTCGAGGCTCTCGAGAGGATGGAGAGGAAGGCCTCGCCGTCCTTACCCTCAGCGAGCAGATTCTTCCAGCTCGACCCCAAGGCCGTGGCCAAGAACTCGCTGTACGGGTCGCTAGATCCGACGACGAGGGAGTGGAAGGATGGCATCTTCACGAGTATCCTGAGGAAGATCGTCGAGAACTTGCGAGAGGATCAGCCAGGTCGCCAGTGGATTGTAATGGACGGGGACGTTGACCCCGAGTGGGTAGAGAACCTCAACAGCGTACTGGACGACAACCGTCTCCTCACCCTCCCGAACGGCGAGAGGATTAGCCTCCCTCCCTCCTGCAGGATCATCTTCGAGGTCGAGGATCTCGAGCACGCGACTCTTGCTACCATCTCCAGGTGCGGCATGGTTTGGTTCGGGGAGAACACTCTCTCCCTCCCCCAGCTGCTCGATCGCGCTCTGGTGTGCGTGCGGGGGGGCATCCAGCCAAGCTCGTGGGTGGACTTGAGCTCGGCACCCCAGCAAGAGCTGGAGAGCGTCTGCGCGTCTGCCATCGAGCCCTTGCTGAAGGCTGACGAGCTGGTGGATCAGGCGATGAGACACGCGGCGGGGCTGGAGCATGTCATGCCCTTCTGCCGTCAGCGAGCGCTGGCTGCCCTTGTGAGCCTGCTCTCCACCTCCATCACGGCGATCGCCGAGTACAACGCGGACCATCCCAGCTTTCCGCTGAGCAGGAGCACGATCGAGAAGCTGATGAGGAAGCAGCTTCTGCTCGCGACCATCTGGGGGCTCGGAGGATGCCTGCAGCTGTCGGAGAGGAACAAGTTCGCTCAGTTTGTCTGCAGCGTGTCCTCAGTTCCCCTTCCTCCCACCGGCGAAGCTGACATCCTCGACTTCGAGGTGAACATGGAGGATGGAGAGTGGACGAGCCTGGAGAGGAAAGTTCCCAACATTGAGCTTGACGCGCACAAGATCGCCTCCTCCGACGTCCTCGTCCCAACGCTGGACACCGTGAGGCACGAGCAGCTGCTCCAAAGCTGGCTGAGGAGCAGGAGACTCTCGATCCTCTGCGGGCCCCCAGGGAGCGGGAAGACAATGACGATCGCATCGACCTTGCGCTCCCTCCCCGATGTCGAGCTTGTGTCTCTCAACTTTAGCAGCACCTCCTCCCCCGACCTTCTGCTCAAGACCTTCGAGCACTATTGCACGTATATCAAGACAATGGAGGGAGCGATTCTGGTGCCGCAGGTCAGCGGCAAGTGGCTGGTGATCTTCTGCGACGAGATCAACCTGCCGGAGACGGACAAGTACGGTACCCAGCATATCATCTCCTTCCTCCGCCAGATCGTCGAGCTCGGAGGCTTCTGGAGGCCCAAGGACCTGACGTGGGTGAAGATGGAGAGAGTTCAAGTCGTCGGGGCCTGCAACCCTCCCACTGACGTCGGGAGACATGCGCTTTCTTCTCGTTTCCTTCGCCACGCCTCCCTCCTCTACGTCGACTTCCCAGGTCGAGAGTCCCTTCGGCAGATCTACGGGACGCTGTGCAGGTCGCTGCTGAAGTTGTCGCCCTCCCTCCGATCGTTTTCCGACTCCGTGGCGTCCGCCATGATCGAAGTGTACGAGACGTGCAAGAAGCAGCTGAGAAGAGATGCGCACGCCCACTACATCTTCAGCCCCAGGGAGCTGTCCAGGTGGATGAGGTCGTTGTATGAGGTTATGAGACAAAAAGATCTGATCAGTGCCGAGACTCTCGTCCAGCTGCTCCTCCATGAGGGGCTCAGACTCTTCGCCGACCGGCTGGTGGAGGAGGAGGAGAGGCAGTGGGTCGACCGGACGATGGACGAGGTTCTGTCAAACAATTTCTTCGGAATCGACATGGGCGCTGCTCTTGCTCGCCCTGTCCTGTTCTGCAACTGGTTGTCAAAGGACTACTCGGTTGTCGACAGGGCGAACCTGAGGGAATTCCTAAAGGCAAGGCTCAAGGTGAACGACCTTCTCCCCTCTCCACCACTCCCGTTCCCTCCCTCTTGCCTCCTCCCTTCCCCCTGTCCCGTCCTCCTACTCCTTCTCCTTGTCTCCTCTCCTCCCGTCTCCTCGTCTCCTCCCCGTCTCCTCTCCTCTACCCCCCCCACTGTCTCCACTCCTCCTCTTCGACTTCCTCGGCTTCCCTCTTCGTCCTCCTCCACGTTTCTCTCCTTCTCCTCCTCGTCTCCTCCCCTTCCGCAACCCCGCACTCCCTCCCTCCCTCCTCTCTCGCATCTTCTTACTTGGTCCTTCAGGTCTTCTACGAGGAGGAACTCAACGTCCCCATCGTTGTCTTCAACCAAGTCATCGACCATGTCCTCCGCATCGACCGCGTCCTCCGCCAGCGCTTCGGCCACTGCCTCCTCATCGGAGCCAGTGGGGCTGGTAAGACAGTCCTGTCGCGCTTCGTGGCATGGAGCGGGGGACATTCGGTGTTCCAGATCAAAGCGCACCAGGGGTACAAGCAGGCAGACTTCGAGGAGGACCTGAGGAAGGTCATGAAGCGAGCAGGCTGCAAGGGGGAGAGCGTGTGCTTCATCTTCGACGAGAGCAACATCCTCAGCTCGGGCTTCCTCGAGCTGATGAACGCACTGCTGGCTTCAGGCGAGGTGCCAGGGCTCTTCGACGGGGACGAGTGGTCGTCCCTGATGCAGCTGTGCCGGGAGTCGGCGCAGCGGGAGGGCTTCATGCTCGACACAGAGGAGGAGCTGTACAAGAGGTTCACCGACGAGGTCCAGCGGAACCTACACGTCGTCTTCACTATGAACCCTTCCAACGCTGAGTTCACCAGTCGCACCGCCACGTCTCCTGCCCTCTTCAACCGATGTGTGGTGGACTGGTTCGGAGACTGGACAGAGGAGGCACTGAAGCAGGTAGCTGAGGAGTTCACCGAGGCGCTGGACCTGGAGGCAGGATGGGAGGATGGCGAGAGGAGGAGGCTGCGGTCGGGGCTGATAGAGAGCCTGTGCTTCGTTCACCAGGAGGCGACGAGGATGTGCGAGGAGCTGAAGAGGAAGGACGAGCTGAGGCTTCACATCACCCCGCGGCACTACATCGACTTCATCCAGCAGTTTGTCAAGCTCTTCAGCGAGAAGAAGTCAGAGATTGAAGACCAGCAGCTGCACCTTCACGTAGGGCTCAAGAAGCTGCAGGACACCCAGGAGGCCGTGCAGGTGCTGAACCAGAGCCTCGAGGCGACGAGGACCGAGCTGACGGCCAAGGAGAAGGCGGCGAACGAGAAGCTGCAGCAGATGGTTCACGACCAGCAGGAAGCTGAGAAGCAGAAGAAGCAGACGAGCGAGGTCAGGGAGGAGGTGGAGCAGCAGCAGCAGGAGATCCAGAGGAGGCAGTCGGAGGTCTCGCAGGAGCTGCTGGAGGTTGAGCCTGCTGTGCAGGAGGCGAAGTTGGCGGTGCAGAACATCAAGAAGTCGCAGCTGGATGAGGTAAGATCGATGATGAACCCGCCAGCTGGGGTCAAGGTGACGATGGAGGCGATATGCGTCATGCTCTTCGACGTGAGGAAGCCGACGTGGGACGAGATCCGCAAGCACATCAGGAGGGAAGACTTCATCCCCGGCATCCTCAACTTTGACACCGAGGCGTTCAAGAGCGACGGCGGCCGCATGAAGGCCGTTGCCTCGTTCCTGGACGACCCGGAGTTCACCTTCGAGCACATCAACAAGTCCTCCAAGGCCTGCGGCCCTCTTGTCAAGTGGGTCTGCGCGCAGCACAAGTTCGCCAGCATCCTGGAGAAGGTCGCGCCGCTCAGGAAGGAGGTCAAGCAGCTGCAGGATGCTGCGAGCGAGTCCGAGCGCCGACTGGGGGAGCTCTCGGCGCTAGGGGAGGAGCTGGAGGAGAAGATCGCGAGCTACAAGTCGGAGTATGCTGTGCTCATCAGCGAGACGCAGGTGCTCAAGGGGGAGATGGCGCGGGTGCACGAGAAAGTTTCGAGGTCGGTCTCCCTCCTCCACAACCTTATCGGGGAGAAGGAGAGGTGGGAGAAGCAGTCAAACTCATTCGGCTCCTCCATCGTCACCCTCGTCGGGGACGTCCTCTTGTCTTCCGCTTTCCTCGCCTACTTCGGCATGTTTGACCAGGTCCATGATCTCTTCCTAGTCCTCTGCCCCTCTGCTCCTTTTCTCACTCCTCCTCCCACTCCTCCTCCTACATAACGTGCTGCTCCTCAATGTCCTAATGTTGCACTACAGGATGCTCGCTCTTCGCTCTTGAGGAGGACCCTTCAATTCCTCAACAAGGTCGGGCTGCCGGCAAAGGAAGATTTGAGCTTTGCAGAGTATCTCAGCAAGGTAAAACATCCACTCTCCCCTCTCTCCTCTCCCTTCGTATCGACTCTCCTCGTCCTCCTCCTCGTCCTCCTCCTCTCCCCTCCCCTCATTCTTCGCTGCTCACTCCTCTCGCTCCCTACCTTCTATGCCCTTCTTTCAATCTTTCACTCTCCTTCCTCCCTCCCTCCCTCCCTCCCATCTCTTCTCCTATGTTCACTCCTCCCTTATCTCCTCCTATGTTCACTCCTCCCTTCTCTCCTCTTCTCCTCTCCTGATCCCCTGGCAGCCGGACGAACGTCTCTGCTGGCTGTCACTCGGTCTTCCTTCCGACTCGCTCTTCGTCGACAACGCTGTGATGCTCAAGAGATACAACCGCTACCCCATGGTCGTCGACCCCTCGGGCCAGGCTACCTCCTTCCTCATGCGGCTGGTAACCAAACCTCCTCTCCTCCTCCTGTCCCTCCCCCTCCTTGTTACCATGAACATGTCCTCTTTCTTCGTACTCTATCGCACCCTCCTCCTCCCCTCTCCCCTTCTTCCCTCCTCCTCGTCCCCCCTCGTTCTTCCCTCCCTCCCTCCTCCTCATCCCCCCTCCTTCTTCCCACCACCACCACCTCCTTTTCTCCTCCTCCTCGCATGAGTCATCTTGACTCCCTCCTCCAGCACAGCGAGCGGCAGATCATGAAGACCTCGTTCCTCGACGCCTCCTTCATGAAGCATCTCGAGAGCGCCCTGCGCTTCGGCACCCCCATCCTCGTCACCGACGTGGAGCGCGTCGACCCCATCCTCAACCCCATCCTCAACCGCGAGATCTCCAAGAACGGAGGAAGGGTCCTCGTGCGCCTCGGCAGCCAGGACATCGACTTCTCCCCCTCCTTCGCTCTCTTCCTGAGCACGCGCGACCCCTCCTGCCACTTCAGCCCCGACCTGTTCAGCCGCGTCTCCCTCATCAACTTCACCATCACCCCAGCTGGACTCCAGGACCAGACGCTGAGCCTGGTGCTGAGATCGGAGCGGCCGGACGTGGAGCAGGAGCGGGAGGACCTGCTGAAGCTCCAGGGGGAGTACAGGCTGAGGCTGAACCAGCTGGAGAAGGCCCTGCTGCAAGCTCTCTCCGACGCCAGTGGCAACATCCTCGACGACGACACAGTGATCGCCTCCCTGGAAAGGATCAAGAAGGAGAGCCAGGAGGTGGAGGAGAAGATCGCGCAGCAGGGGGAGACGCAGGAGCGGATCGAGGAGGTAACAAGACTCTTCGAGCCCTTCGCTGCCACCAGCGCGCGGGTGTTCTTGCGCTGCAGTCCATGAGAGAAGTTCACTTCCTCTATCACTTCTCCGTCCAGACCTTCATGCACATCTTCTCTCGCGTGACGGAGGAGGCGAAGGCTGACCAGTCCCCCGACCGCACAGACCTCCTCCTCCGCCTCCTCTTCAAGATCACCTTCGATCACGCTAGCGTCTCCCTCCTCGAGCGGCACAAGCTCCTCCTCGCCCTTCGCTTCGCCCAGCTGAAGCTGCTGGGCTCTCAGCTCGAGCTGGATACCTCGGACCTCAACTTTCTCTTTGGCAAGTCTGCCGTCGACGGCTCCTCCCCGCCTTCCCGACTGTTTCTCAGCTAAGCAGGTAAGCGCTGGCTCCCCTCTGCTCCCCCTGACCTCTCCCGCAGGCCGCCAATGTCGCCATGCTCAGCAAGTCGAGCAAGTTCGCGTCTCTGCCTGACCTCATCTGCAGCGACGCCTCCTCCTGGTCTTCCTTCCTCTCCTCCGAGCATCCTGAGCAGCAGCTGCCCTGCTCCTGGACCGGCGACTCCCCCGTTGACGTGGACGTGGCATGGCGGCGGGTTCTGGTCTGCCATGCCCTCCGGCCGGATCGCCTGCAGGCAGCCTGCGGTCTCTTCGTCGAGCGAGTCCTCGGCAGCGACTTCCTCGCCTCTTCCTCCCCTGAGCTCCGCCAGATCCTCGACAGCAGCCCCGCCAACCAGCACACCTTCATCCTCTCCTCCTCTGCCGGCTTCGACACCAGCAGCCGCGTCGAGCGACTCGCGCGGGACCTCAGAGTCTCCTGCGACACGCTGGCGATGGGATCGCCCGAGGGCTACGAGCAGGCAGAGAAGCTCATTGCGTCCGCTGCCTCCAGGCAAGGGGCGTGGGTCCTCCTCAAGAACGTCCACCTCGCCCCCAGCTGGCTGCTGCAGCTGGAGAAGAAGATGCACCGCATCGACCCCCTGCCCGGGTTCCGCCTCTTCCTCACCATGGAGTTCTCCTCGCAGGTCCCGCAGAGCCTCTTGCTCAGCTCTAGAGTCGTCGTGTACGAGCCGCCGGTGGGGATCAGAGCCAGCCTGCTGCGCTCCATGACGTCGTCGAGATCGCAGAGGATGGAGGAGGAGCCGGCTGAACGCTCTCGCCTCCACCTCCTCCTCTCCTGGGTCCACAGCGTCATCATGGGGAGGATGCGCTACTGCCCGCACGGGTGGTCCAAGAGCTACGAGTTCAGCGAGGTGGACCTTAGGAGCGCAGCAGACATAATCGACGAGTGGGTCGATAAGCTGGCGGCCGGAAGGTCCAACGTGGCGCCTCAGAGGCTGCCGTGGGAGGCGATACAGGCCCTGATCTCCTCGACCTGCTACGGGGGAAGGGTCGACAACGAGTTCGACCTCTCCATCCTCAACTCGCTCCTCCTCCGCCTCTTCCATCCCTCCTCCTACTCCCTCGACTTCTCTCCCATCCCCCTCCCCGCCGAGTCGGGGCTCCTCAAGCTCCCCGAGGGACGAGGGACAGATTCATTCCTGCAGTGGATCCATTCCTTGCCCGAGCGGGAGGAGCCCGCCTGGTTGGGCCTGTCCTCCGACTCCGACCTCCTCCTCCTCGCCCGAGAATCCGAGAAGATGCTAGGGGAGTGGGAGGAGCTGCTCAACAGCTACTCGGGCGACGAGCGACTGGTCGACTCAGCGCAAGTGAGGAAGCAGGAGAAAGTTCCACGCTGGACCAAGACCATCGTCAGCATGGCGGAGAAGTGGGAGCAAGAGCTGCCTGCTGCTGTCGAGACTAAGTTTGACCCCAAAAGTGGGGACGCTGTGCTGGTAACTTCACCTTGCCCTGTCTCCTTCCTCCCTGTCTTCTCCTTCACCTCAACTTGATCTGACTCCCTTCCTCCTTCGTGCCCTCCTCTTCTCCTTTCCCCCCATCTTGCCCTTCCCTCCTCCTCCTCCTCCTCCTCCTCCTCCTCCTCCTCCTCCTCCTCCTCCTCCTCCTCCTGACTTGCTCCCAGCGCTTCTTGAGCAGAGAGAGCGACATTGCGGTCAACCTTCTCAACCTCGTTCGCGCTGACATCAGCAGCATCCTCTCCTGCCTTCGCGGCGACGCTGCTCTCACTAACCACGTGCGGGAAGTGATCTCCGACCTGAGGAGAGGACTCGTGCCCAAGACCTGGTCAAGGTGACTTGTTCTCCTCCTCCTACCTCGACCTACTGCTCCACTTGCTCCTGCTCCTGCTCCTGCTCCTACCTCGGACTCTTGCTGCTCCTGCTCCCTGCTGCGTCTGCCCTAACTCCCTCACTCCCTCACTCCCTCCTGAACTTTTCTCCCACTTCTCTTTTCCTGTTCCTTCCCTCATCTTCGTCTAGTCTCCTCATCCTTCTCCTCCCTCCCCTCTCCGTCCCTCCTCACTCTCTTCGCAGGAATCACAAGATCTCCTCCCTCCTCAAGCCCGACAGCTGGATCAGAGACCTCGTGCGGAGGATCAAGCATCTGTCTCAGGTGGCTGCTCATCTGCAGCAGGGGGGGAATGTCCTCGCTCAGCCCGTCTGGCTGGGAGGCTTCTTCTATCCCGGGGCCTTCCTGACGGCCTTGAGACAACTGCAAGCACGGAGCCAGGTAGGAGAGAGGTGGCGAAGGAGGGCGGAAGAAGGGAAGAGGATGGAGGGAGGTAGGAAAGAGCAAGGGAGGTTTGGTTCGAGAGGATTGGGATGCGAGGGACGGAGGATGAAATGGAGGACGGAGTGGAGAGAGGAGAAGAGAGCCTGGTAGAGGAGAAGGTGCAGGAGGGCAGAGGAAAGAGCAGAGGAGAGGCAGGAGCACAGGCCCTGATGCTCGCTTGTCTTGCAGAGAGTGCCGCTCGAAGAACTGAAACTGCGAGTGAGGATCGGGGCGGAGCAGGGCGAGGACGGGGCGTCTGTACAAGTGCGCGGGAGCTGCTTGCATGGAGCGCGATGGCAGGAGGAGAAACAAGTCCTGACGTGCGGCGGAAGCCAGCCGGCACAACTCGCTGCCCTGACGCTGAGGTCGGACATGCCTGCCCTGGTCACGGCTGCTGATTCTTGTGTGCAGCTGGGAGAAGGAGAAGGAGGAGAAGGAGGAGGACAAGGAAGAAGAGGTCACCATCAAAGTCCCTATGTACCTCACAGAAGCGAGAGGAGACGTGTTTGCTGTGGTAAGTCGCCGGAGGGAGAGGAGAGGAGAGGAGAGGAGAGGGGAGGGGAGGGGAGGGGAGGGGAGGGAGGAGAGGAGAGG